CGCTGCCGACGCCTCTGCTGTCGCATGTTCCAAGAAACAGTTCTTCTCCATTTTCAGATACTGCGTGCAGCGCGCGATGCCTTTCGTGGTCAGTCCGATGACGTCGTACTTGGTCTTCCTAGATTGCATCATCAGGTCTTCTGTACACGCTTCCGATGCAAGCGTCCGTGCGTTGAAAGTACAGATCGCCATCTCAGTCCTTCTCCTTTTGGGCAGCCTGTTTTGGCCCTGAGATTTTAGCAGCCTCTCCCGAGCGGTCCTACCCAACGCTGCCGTATTGGTTGCTCCCTCAGGTTCGTGGGAATGAAGCCCATTTTTACGGTTTTTGGCGTGCAGATACCCAATGTACAGCTTGCCAGGGTCTGACGTTTGGCTAGGTTAACTCCGAGGGCTTGCCAGACTATCCCGAAGTGGACGAGGTGCTTTGTTTCTAGAGGCGGCCCCGAAACGCCTCCCAGATACTTCCCAGTCACTCGAATGCAAGCTTTTCCCGAGTCGATGGGCAAGATACCAACTACCCCACAGACCCTTCACACACGTATACGTGGATCGCCAGCGAGAAACAGAGGATATATCGACCCAGCACAGCTGTATCGAGGAGTCCATCCCCTGAATTCACCTGCGTCTCTGGGCAAGTACCGCTGACTTTTGGTAGGCGCTTAATTCCCCTAATCGCCACCTGAGAATGCCCTACGCAGCCTCGTCACTAACCGGCTGGGGATCCTTCAGGGATAATTCGGACAGTCTTTCACCTGTACTTATATATGTAGGTATAAGAGCTCATAGACATCATAGGACAAATAATAGGATCTCCAAGAACGCCAAAACTCTCTCGATTCCCGATTTTTAAGCTCCTGGGTGTCTCGGAAACAGCCTACGTAGCATAGACTGATCCTTAGATCTTCACCACCATCTCCTATCACTCTCAGACATGACACCGTCCGATTTCGGTAACATCATTGCAGTCATTCAAATTCTTGATAACTATTCTTCTGCGAGATCCAGTCTTTCCCATAATCCATGGAGGAACCTAATCGTTTTCTCAAACGATGAATGAGTTCCTATCTAGCGTAACATATAGAGAGCGTTCCTGATCACTTAACCTTTCGGTTGTAATATGTAAGTGATCTCGTTTTAGCGCGTATCTTAGTGGTAACAAGACAGAATTTTCTACAGGTATGTTTCGAATATAGCAATTCAGCTTGGGCATACTAGCACAGCAGTCGACAAGTAATTCACAGCACCTCCTTATTAGGCAAAGTGCTACACTTAATAATTGGACATAAGAAGCTACAACATCAAAAAATTACAAAACTTATGGTACAAAGGATGATGGTGAGAGGGAAGATGAAATCAAGAAATGTTCATGAAAAAATCAACACTAAAAACAAGCGCATTGAACTTGCCAGTGTTTTACAGTACGCATAGATACGATTGCGAGCTACATGATAGAACAGTGCAACCACATTCTTTAACTGTTTTATCGAACAATACCCTTTAACGTAGCACAAACTTTTGCAATTGGCTAATATTTACAGAGCGTCAACAAAATATTTTCAAATTTGGACATACAGTATTTCTTAACTTACTACAATAGGCACATAAAATTGTTTTGGATTTGAAGATAATTCATAGTGAGAGCATTTACGTAGGCAAGGAAAACCGATTGCCGAGAATGCTAAGTGGCCATCTATCTACGGAACTGTCTCCAGTCGGTATGGTTCTTTCACTTCGGACTCTTCCACAGATTTGTCATTCTCATTAATTTACAGGTGCTGTACAAAAATTGCACCGAAGCCAGAATTCCAAAAACAAATAACAACATTCAAAGCAAGAAAACAAGCCGGACACAATATAAAATGAAGTTAAGAACCTCTTTTGATGTTGCCACAGTCTCTTAGAAAATAAAGGGTACTTCTGTGAGCCACTTCTACGCATGCATTACGGTTTTCACACCATTCAACCTCATAAGCATTTCGACGGGATCCGACGCTTGCTCGACTACTTTGAAAGCTCCCTAATGGTTACGTTAGGACCACAGCACGAAGCTAGGCAATAGTTGAATTAGTCGCTAAGCGACCACGATGGGTTTCATGCTAAGCTTACGCCTAATTTCTACTTGAAAGTAAAGACAACCTGAACAAGTAAAGAGAATCTATGAAACACAAAGAAAATTAATGAGACCGCGGAACCAGAAGAGATCAAAAAGAATCATAACCGACTTTGACAGCCAGGTGTGCATCTGAAAAGATAACAATCAGTCATAAACGAATGCAATACTATCTCACACTTGGGAGCACAATTTCACGATGGCCTCGGTCTTGTTAGCAGCTATGTGGCCCCAGGATGAAAGAGATGGGAACGAGAGTCGGAGCACTGATAAATGAAAAACAAAAGGAATCCTTTAGATAAACCAAAAGAGAGCAAAGGAAAATATAGTGAACACTTTGGAAGAAATTTTGCCCACGTGCCCCTCAAATTAAAGTAGCCTCAGGAGACGGGGTCATTGCATTTTATACTCAGGTAGACTGTTTCTATATTACCTCTGGCCCAACGCGAAGTGTGCCCTCAACCAGACCTTAGTACTGCCCACGATCAATTTGCAGAATAAACACTTACAAGCACCGAATGCCATTCTTTTGTTCTTCAGCATCCTTACCACGATATGAGAAGGTGAGTTCTTCACCTGAAAAAGAGATGGATATAAAGCTACTCTGTTGTCACGCGTAGAGTTGAGAAAATACCAAAAAAATTACAAAAAGAATGGAAAGGATCAAAATGCCTAAAAGAAAAGTTATAACGTCTACACTGGTTTAGGAGCAAGTTTTCTTGCCGGTTATTTGACGGCATTTGACAGTACAAAAAAAGCTACGAAAGGCTCTTACTTTTGGAAAACCAAAGCTCAGTCAGGACCCTCCGAAAACTATCTTAGGAGGCAAAAAGCTTTTTGCTTGCGATTCACTTAATTCGAGGGCATAGTATATGTTTTCCAAGTACAAAATCCAAAGTGCGGAATAGTACCTTTAGAGATCGTTCGTTTTGTGAAGAAAAGCATGTTGTTAGTGAGCAGATTGCCGCGAGACAAAAGCGATACAGCCTTGAGATTAGCAGCGTCACCACAGGCGTGATTGAAGTATCTGAAGGCAAACAAGTGAGTCAAGTTTGTAAAAAAATGGATAGATGTGGACGAGATTACCGCGTTTCATTTCCCATACGTGATGCATCAACGACATACTGCTTTGTGCCAGGTATTTGATGCTGAAAATGAAAATGCTTCAAAAGGTCATACCTTAATCGGGTGTAAACTTCAACTCAATAAAAACTCACAATATTTGTAAATTGATAACTGGTAGACACTCCTTGAGCAATGGCAGAGCACAGTGGTATGATCTTAAATAAAAAGGTTGTATTCCGACAACCTGCTGACACTTAGACAAATGGTTTGGGCTGATCAACCTAGTTATCTCAAATTCTTTCCCCACAAACACCTCAGAAAGCTAGCCCTATAAGTATCACTCTCAGAAACAATTGAACTCACCTCGCCTGTATATGTCCCAAGGAATGTTCCAGCCGGGATGATTTGTGGCGCAAAAACACTCCAACCCTTCGTGGTCGTATACATCACCACCAATGGTACCTTTCTACCACGCTAGAAATGATGAGAAAGTTAAATTCGACATGACTGATGGTTGGAGATGAAAAGCTGTTAACAAAGAAGGTTAGTCAGACTATACGATGTCAAGATTCGCAATCATTGATCTTCAACCTGTGCACTATCGTACAGAAAAACACAATTGGAACAGATTTCAGAGCACTCTTATGAACACTCTTTGCACTTATGAAAATCGGTCGCTATTTTCTTGATCTGTGTGATGTTTGTGTTCTTACACAACCGTTGAATCAACGTATTTACCGCTACCAGCAAGCATTTACAAACAACTTTTTCAAGCAAATTTAATGCAGATTCCGAAATCATACCTCCGCGTATCTACTCGGGCAGTTCGAATCACATGAACAGGTGGTTCCGCATTCGACAGAGATTGCTTCCGCAAGCTTATCGACATCGACTTTACCAGTGCTACGCATGCGTATTTGATCTCGACCCATTATCTAAAATGATGACCTTGCTAAGAGCTTATACAACTTGAAAAATCCATTCAGTAGTTCGAGAGCCCTTCGTTTTCCATCACCCTTCAGTCTAACTATACAATAAGCTGATACTTCGTCTCTTGTCTGATCTCCAGAGCAACACTTCTTAAGTTTCCTATCAATTTCCAACCAAAATGTTCAATATGGGAGACTCAGTGCATGCTTATGCAAAGGAAGAAGTCAATCAATCAATGTCAATGAAAGCACGACAAAGCAAAAGTCATCCGGATAGGTTAAAACCCTACAACCTCTGCAGAAATTTCGAGTGCTATAACTTATTTCATTCATGTAATAGCACATATGAGCATATACCTTAACACATGGACAGAACGGAGTGCACTGGCCGTCTTTACAGTCACAACCGGCGCCGTCCTCTGGATACTGCAAACGGAGAGCAATACCTATTGCTTTGGCCTCACGATAGTTGGAGATCGACATTGCACATCTGGTCAGGTACTGAAAGAAGAATTTCAAAAACTTGATAAAAATTTGAAGAGCTGAAACGTTTGTGACGAAAAGCGTTAATAGGCAAATACTAACTTTCACATCGATGGTAGCACGTTCGTCATCTGTCCAATTTTCGAAGTAAATTGGAGCAATTCCAAGCTCCTCCAGCTCGTCATTAATTGACTGTTCGATCATTCGAAGATGCACGCGATGCCAACTCTGTAACACGAGAACTCGTCATAATCGAACTAGAAACCGGACAAATTTTAGCGCAGCACTGGGAGTTTGATTTTGCTGGTGAAGAGCTGACAATTCGAGAGAATAAAGGGTTAGGGAGATAACTATTCAAAAACAGCCCTCAGTGACGCTCACCGTATAATCATGACGCCTATGGAATTTAGGAAAAGCCTGCTCGAAAGCTTTTGGATCCTTCTGCTGCATACGAGCAGCCATTTGTGAGATCAGGCGCTCCCTTGTGTCTGCTGCTGTCAACTGAAAATTAGGATATGACCATAGGAGAGTAAGGACTAACCAACGAACCTTTTTGGTATTACCAGAACAAACCTTTTTGTCAGCGTCATCGAAGCAATCAGGAGCCAAACTCCAGCAGTCATTCCATGGCCAGTCTTTCCAAATAACTACATATTCTTTTTCTTTTGATCCGTCCTGCTTGAAAGCAAAGGCTTAGATGTCCACAAAAAAGGGATAGAGCATTGAAACGAAAAAATAAACTTACATATTTGACCATGTGCGGCCGTAATATAACAGCCACTTCCCACGACCTTTCATTTGGATCCGTTGGCTCTTTTTCATCGCCTTCTAGAAAGAAGAAATTGAGTTGAACTAAATTACTCAAAGTTCTCGTTTGATGCGAGGATATGTTCTCTTACCAATTCGGAAAAAATCAAGGAAATTACTCCCGATTTCCTAGATCAACCCACAGAATCTCAAGTTGGAAGGACTGGACCATAATCGCCATCGAAACAGCTCCTTTTTAACCACAATGGAACTTATTAATAATTATGCTATTCCTCAACACATCCCGAGCATGAGCCCTAGATCCAGCTAGCTTACCCACCAGTATTAAGAAGAGGATGAGAGAATTAATGAAGTTAATTTTACCTTCGGAGCTTTCCTCGGAATCTGCATCTTCCTCTTCGTCTGTGGGGGCGACAGCTTTTTTTGGAAGCGGAGCCCATAGCGGGGCATTTTTCAGTCCTATAACAAACATTCACGGAAGAACTATTGCCTAATAATTTGAACGAGGTAGAGGAGAAAAAAAGAAAAAGGAGTAAAGTTGCGTACGATCGATTTGAGCCGGTGTGAACCCAAGAGCAGCATAAAGATCCTGAAATTGAGCACTAATCAAATTCGGTGAGACGATATGTTGAGGGTTGTATGATTACCATATCGACTTCTTCAACTTCATCTTCGAATTCCTCTTCGGTCAGTGCAGATGAGCAATGCAAAGAATTCATTTGGTCAGCTAAATCGTTAAATGAATCGCGCGAAATTAAAGGAAAAACAAACTTTTGAGTCGTTGTCATAGTTCACCCAATATTAGACCTATGCAGCTAAAGAAATATTCACAATCATCAATATCTGGCTTTTTAGAAAAAAAGAAGTTTTTGATCCTGATTACAACGCTAAAACAGTCAGTAACGCCACCGGCACCAAAAAAACTTCTATAAAGTAGGAAGAAAAATCTTACACAAACCTAGATCAGTTTTTTCAAGCTCGCTGTTCATCGTATTTTCCTTATCTTCTCCTGCTGCTACTGTACCATTTATTGTCTGAAAAAGACTTACATGAGTGATAGCTTTCCACGAAACTACTATTTCATGTGAAAATGAATACTGTTGCGTCGTTAAGCAGAAAGAAAAGGCTTAAGATGGATAGAAAAACGACCAAAGGCGGTTTTACATCGCAAGGAGAGTCATTCTGGTTAGATAAGTTCCTAGCACGTTCTTGTTCCAATGCATGAAGAATTCTCCTTTGAACAGGATCAATTCCTTCAGTATTGCAATCATCCGACTGCATCGGCTCGTTGGGTTCTGAGAAAATCAGCTNTGATTGAAGGAGAAAACGCACCATATGGCAACGGTCTGATTTTACCACTGCTGCTGACTACAATACGTCGATAACGAACTAAAGCGTTCGTGATCCGCCGAGGCAGTTGGATGAACCGAACGTCAGAACTGAGTAAGAATAATTATTTCTTTATAAAGCTCATACCTCAGTTAGCAAGCTGTTTGTTGGGGAAAAAGTAAAAGCACTTACTGCAGCGGCACTTCAACTTCATCGGGTTCCAAGTCACCAGGTCGAAACGCACTCTAAGGAAGATTATGTGAAATTATTGCTATGAAGAATATGACCATGAAGAGAAAACATGAAATACAGAAAATAACGAAATAAGGCTCAAGAAAAGAGAACTGACCGGAACAGCACCGTTAGGATGTTCAAATCTAGTCATGTCATTGAATTCCGTATTCGAAGATGAACGAGAAAAACCGCTCACACTTGACGAAACTTCACGACCGTTGGAGTCCACATGGCAGGAAGAAGGACTGGAAAAAATGCGGAATTAGATTGGTGACAAGGGCTAGGGCAAGCCTAAAATCGCTCTCCATTCAATGCTATCTCTTACAACTCACAAAAGCTTAGAAATCAACTGAACTCAATCAACCAAACTATCACTCACAAACGAGGAATAAAACCACCATAGATGAAGAGTAGATAGTGTGATACCAAGAAACAGTATCAGAGCCGACGTGTTAAGTCAGATGGATCTTTCTTCTCTAATCACAAAAATTTTGAGCAACAGCGAGCTCAACAAAGAACTGAGGTGGCATGCAGTAGACTAGGAGGAACGAGAGGCAAAGAGTAAACCGAGTGTCACAAGAACAAGTTAAACTAGAATTTTTGAAAATATATTCTTGGAAAGTCAAGCGTTTTAAAGCTCCTCCAAATGGGTAAACTGTCTTACACATCAAAATTTTTAAAGAAGTAGATGACATTGTTCTGAATGGCATGCAGGTAATCATGAGATCTGAGATTCAGATCCTTTTTCATATACTTAGATGATTAGATAAGTACAAGTAACAGGATAGGAAAAGTTGTACGGAATGTAAATACTCTCATCGAAGCACCAGATGACCGCGTCAAATAATGCTCGGGAACAAATTTGAAAGTTCACATATTTCACGTTAACATCAATCGACTTGGCCACAGAGCTAGGATTTGCAAACCTAGCGCACTTTAAATAAAAGCAAACGTCATTAGAGAACCGGTTTCAATCAGCAATAGTAATAATTTGTCGTTCCCAAATAAAACCGTTCTTTTCTGGAGATCCCTTTCCCTATTCTAATTCCTCTAAAGATTAGGTCGAGAACCTGGGAGTTACTAAAACATTATTCAACTTCATTGAACGTTTTCGAGAAAGAGGGGTAGTATCTAGCAATCTTAACATAGTGCTTAAAGTTTCGAGTTTTTACGGTGGTTGCATATTCAGAACATCACTTCTGCAGTAATTGAACTTCTATGCTATCATACAAATTCCAGCCTCTCCCGCTGAGTTTGTCGGTAAAAAGAGATGTAAAAGAGCTCTGAGCTGAGCGGCAATGTGCTACAGTGGCAATATCTCAACAAAGAGATTTGACTACATGAAACGCTCAAAAGGGCGTTGAATGGTACGTGAGAGGTCTAAGCAAACACACCTCAATTCTCGCTTGGTCTTCACGGTGATATCTTCTTCCGATGAGATAGACATCTCTACAACGAGCCACCCGCGACACTAAAATATAAAAAGAGCAGTTTAACAAGGAGAAAAATACTCGAATCAATAGTCCACAAGAGAGGCACGTTGTTCAGTTCCTTGGGGACCCAAGAGCAAATGCAATAATGTAGAGAAATCTCATTTGATCAGCGAATTACCGGGGTTTTCTCTAAAAGACGCTCTTAATGGGTACAGGTCAAGACCAAAAGCAGCAACTTCGAAACTTTCTTCAAAGAGCACATCAAATAGATGAATCAGACGCCACGGAAATACCAGAGAAATATTAAAACTCGTAGCATTGGAAAATAGGAAAAGGTGAGAGCAGCGGTATCGAGCTGCGACAACGGGAAAACACGCAGAGCCAGTGAGCAAGGGAAAGATCTCTTGATGCCACGTCACATTGTTATTCACCAATCTGTCTTTGCACAGTTATAAAAAAAGATTGTTGATGAGTCTTATGACGATTTATACCGATCGTTTTCGATCTGATCGATAACTTTTTAATAGGGTTCTCAGATCGTCAAGACACTATGCAAGCTGATCCTTCGAAATCTTGAAGGAAAAATTCGTCAAATTCGATCCGGTGGTTGTCGTAAAAGCAATCACGTTCATTCAGAAAATCCCCCTGTCCACCTTGAAGAGCAGAATAATTGGCAACAGCTGTGAACCATTTTGAAGGTGAGCCGTAAAAAGATTTATTTGCTCATCACTATCCCATCATTACACTAAAAGCAATAAAATCATAAAGTAATAAAGTCGTGAGCTAAGAGATCAAAATTATCCTATTATGTCTCGAGAGCCTATCGTGAGCCGTGCGAAAACGAACATGGGCTACAGGTGAAATTAGGTAAATTACTCTGTAACTCATTAGAAAACAAGAGAAAGACTCGGAAAACCGCCAATTCTTCCCCAAAATGAAGAACCCGCACCAGGAATGGGAAAGCGTTACTTTCCTAGGAAGCCTCACTGTAGCATTTGAATACAAAATTTTACCGCTCTTTGCAACTTGTCGATTAGAGCAGAGAAATGCAATTAGAGCGCGATATCTAATTGCTCTTTGTTGTTGAGCGCGTTTGGTCATAGCGACTGATGCGAAGGAATGGCTCTACTTGGAAAAATTTGATTTCATAAGAGTCTTTCATGAATTGCTCATCTTCAAAAGTGGCTAGTGTCCACCTTATGGTGTCCACACTCCACTCCCTCCAAATTGGACAGAACGTGTTTGGAATGTTGCATTAGGGCGATGCCCATAGCCTAGCATCATCTCATTTTGTAGAGTATTAACATGACCTGAACGGATATCGCTCCTCTACCTGAATTTCCTGGAGTTACCTTGGAATTTGGGACGTCCACCATTTGTTTTTCATTTGGAAAACTATATTCTATAGAAAACAAGCAGAATTCAGTCTATCTCTCTTTATCTTTTTATAAAAAACAGGCATTAAAGCGAGAAATCACATCTTTCTTTATTCAGCCAACAAATGCCTGTCAAATATAACACTCAACGATTCAATTTTTATTCATTTACCGAGGAAACAGGCACCATAGCACCATGAAAATAGATAGGGATAGTTACTTCATTTATAGAGGAATGAGCCCATACAGAAGTGTGACGACTAGAAAATGATCCATTAAGTTGCTCACTTCTTCAGACGAAAAAGATAAGCTTCAAACGTCGCGCATGCAAATTTTCCAGCCACGAAGTGGCGTGTCGCGTTTTTGCAATCATGAGCAGGGGCGTTTGCGACCGCGCGCGTCTGAACTCTGCTGTTTCCGCTACGCGATAGTCTAAACGCCATTTGAATACAGAAGGCACCATGGAAGACATTTTTTTCCTGCCTAAAAATTATTGAGCTGAGACCATTAGAAGAGGGCAAGTCCCGTTTAAGTATAGAGCGATAGAAATCAAGATTCGGTCGGAAAAGTGGTCACCCTATGCCAGCACAAGCACAGCAACAGCACATCAACATAATTTAACAGCCTTATTATCCAAACAACCCAAGTATTCATCCCGTGTTCTCACTGGTGAGTACAACCCGTCTCTGTGGAAGAGTTTGTGGGCAATAAAGGGTCGAGTTATGATGGCCCATCCGTAGCAAACATAGCAGATTCAGTTGGCATTCGGTATCACATGCGGGTTTCCTCGTACGGAACGCACTCCTGAAATCTTCGTAGAGAACCTTGGTGAAGGAGAATGTCGTGAGCAAACTGTACCTACCGGATATACTTTCTTGCTGTACGTGCTTCTTGGAATATGGAATTTACCACGTTGTTCCAACTAGTCGGGGAAAGATCCCTCAAACCATACTTCGCCTTAAAGAAAAGAATTATTTTGAAGTGAGTCACTAAGCAAAGTAGCCAACAAAGTGAGGAGACCAAGCTAGGCAACACAGTATGGGTAGGCGAATTTCTACGAAAGCGATGATTGCTCTCGCTACTTACCATTACTACCTAGTGAGCACAATTACAATCGGGTTTCAGTGGGGAGTGTGGTGGGCCTTTAGGACCACAGGATTCACAAAACGTAGACAAGATGTCTGAATAATCACTCACCTTAGCAGTGTAGAGCAGCTCCCACTTTGGAGGTTTGTTCTCATCAGCCTTGTTCAGGTCAGCATAGAAATTCTTTATATCCACGACCTTCTGAAATCTCATATCCCTCTGGCACGGCTGACATACAGAAAATGAAAAAAAGGAGAGAGAGATAATGACAAGGAGGGCCTGAAGACTTGTTATCCGCAATTTCTGAGGACATTAAAACTTGTGGTCGGTAGATTAGTGGCCACTGTGAGTTATAGATGTATGTGTGTAAGCTTGAAGCTTCATAGTATAAGCCATGAGCTTGAAAACAACATCAAATTGAAATCAAGTGAGGAATAGGTCAAAAAATTCCACGCTTATTACTACTCCATCTCATTTTCCCTTCCTACACATCAGAATTTAAAAGATTTCCATTTTCTGGATAAGTCTATGCGTAGGGAGGAAATTTCTCCTTATGAGGAAAAGATCTGCATGAAGTGTGGTATTGGGGACAAATCTAAATCATCTTGCGGAGGCAGTAGAAACTCACAAATTCATCAGAATAATCAACTTCATAAATGCGATAAGCAGGATTCATGTCAGCAAATGTCGTAACACTGGGAGCAGCATAGAGGACCTGGAACACAATCCAGGAAGTTCAGCTCCTTGAAATTCGAAGAACCCCTTCAGACTGACCCCAATGGGCGTGGACGAGATGTTGTGCATATCTTCATAGAACACTGTGAAATGATCAAAATGGACATGACCGAAGAATTGAGCCTTGACGGTATCAGCAAACCTGCAAAATCGCTATTTTCCCTCATGATAGGGCTCATGAAACTTATATTACGGTACTTTCCATAAATCCCACTGGCATCCCCATATCACACCCTGACAACAGGCAATCAATGGTTAATTCAGGTTATCTAGAGCCCAAACTGTGCGCACAACCCCTGAAAGATCCACTAATGGGGGCATGTAGTGGGGAATCCCACTCTCTGCAGCGATTCTTAATTAGTTGTCTCGCCGTACCCATAAACAAATTAGGATGGTATCCTCAGATACGTAGACGAGGCTCCAAGTACTCCCATCCCATATATACATAAAAGGTTTGGTGTTGATGGCTAATGGCTATCCTTTTCGCTATTTAGCTGTCTCGCCCTACTAGAAGCAGATACCTTAATGAACTTTATTACCCACACACCCATACGAGGAGGAATCTATAGGAAAACTGTTATATGTGACAACAATAGTTTCCAGAAATAACTGGTAACCAGAAGGTAGAATCATCAAACCTTTGTACGACTCTGTAGTAGTTTCGAGCCCAACCTTCCAAACATTCTCCATCTCCAGGTGGAATGTGCGATAGCACATGCACCGACTCTCCTGATAGCTCGGCCTGAAATTGCTGCTGATAGCCCGATTGGTAAACAGTGGGGGATAGGCAGTTGGATCGGTCAGGGGGTCAGCCTCTTCAGTACAGCTCAGCTTTTTCCCTGGCTTACTAACCGTCACTTATCTGGGATTATGAAAAGTGTTTAGTTACCGGCCGGTCGGTGCACTGTCCCATAGATGAGGGNTGGCAATTTTAAGTTAAGGGTTAAGGGTTAAGCAAGGGCAATTTTAAACTGATCGTGTCGGTTTCCAGCGGGTACAGATAGAGAAAAATTGCGATTAGTTTAAAAATTTAATTCAGACACTTCTTCAAAAACACTTCTTTTACCAGATACACTGGGAACCCCCTTCTTGATCTTCGTTATGCAAATGCCCAACCAGTGGTTCTTGCCGAGGTGGTCGATCCTGACCGAATCGACTGTATCACAATTGACATTCGTTTCAAACTAACCTTGAAAAGCTCAGTGACGAACCAGGACATCGTTCCATCTGGATCACTTTGATTCAGATAAAGGAAACTGGAAGACAATAAGAATCAGCTGAAGTCTAGAAGTCCCATGGAAATTGTTTACCCGCGTACAAGTTAGTATTCTCACAGAATCCCGTATTTAGCGAAATAAGGCGTAATCCATCTATGACTTTAACGGAATAGGAGCCACGGCTGGAAAATAGTGTAAGGAGATAGCGAACTTGAATCATAACCGTAACTGTATTTCGAAAGAATTCAGCGGGACAACCTACTAAAGCACGGCTTTTGAAGCCTCATCATTGAGCCATGGAGAGCTCATGTTCAGGAATTCTTCGTACAACCATATAGGCCAGAACCGCTCGTCGACGAAATGTGGAGCAAAACTGAAAAAAATAAAAGTTGTACCCAGACTTACTGAATAAGGGCATGGAAGACAAGTTACACTGCCGCTAATCCCACTGCTGAAATATCGAGAAGCGCTTAGTTACGTTACCAAACATTCCATTGCCATAACAAGACTGGCTCCCTAAGCATGCGAGGGGTGAAGAAATCATGACGAACAGGATTAGTTGGATGCATTTTCAGGGCCACTTTCAATAGTGCTGTTTGATTCTAACTGCAGTGGCCATTTGATGCTTAGTAGTCGACTCGAAGGATTGGGTAATTGACAGACCTGTGTGGATTACCCCAAAACTGCGATCCCATATTGTGAGTACAGTGGCGAGAGACTAGGCACCGCTTTTGTTTCGCCCCCGATCTCCTCTGGTTCCTCTGAAGTTCCTAATGAAAAATTGCCCCCCTGAAAAGCCGAAAGTAGGTCCTGAGAGGGACATGGCATCGATGCTATTGAATGGCGGCCATTCAGATAAGAAATTTTAAACTGGATAACATGGACAGCTATACTCTCGGTATACAGCCGAAGCATATTCAAAAGAAGCTCACCTATTCACGGGCACTCCTTCATGGTTACCAATTGCCCAGTAGGTTGGAGTCATGGGGAAGAACTGACGGATCAAAGCGCTAACGTTCCTCAGCGCTCCCACATGTTCGTCCTTTGAATACGACCAATCTGCATGATTAATGAAATCTCCTGACAGCATAATGTAGTCAATCTGAAATTCAAGAATTTGATCAGAATGGTAATCAAATATGTTCATAGCACTGATACGTTCTAGGGACTCACATCACCATTGAGCCCATAGTGTATAGGAGGTAGCGCTTTTATTTATTTACTTATTTATTTATTTATCCATTTATTCATTATTTTTTAGACAAACGCTTTTCCCGGACTTGGTACGGTATGATACAGTAGTAAGATCAAGATGCTACAGTATGCATACAGTACGTGCTACAATACAGTCCTCTACAGTATGTCAAACGGTAAGAATAANGGCAGTGAATAACGAGAATGAAAAAAACAAGTGACCATCCAAAACCGAGTTGCTAATAAGAAAATAAGTAAATGTTAAAAAAATCTCTGACAAAGGAAACTACCTCATGAGTAGACTTGATATGCTCCAGCATATTCCTGAGTGTACGATAAGGGATGTCACATCTACCGACGGTACCCCAGTATCCAGCTGGTTTCTGTGGCGTCCCTAAAGACCTAGACTCATCCAGATATAACCGAAAACTCTTTTGAGCTCATCCTACCCGTTGTAGGTCGACAGCAAATGGGCAGATCACATTCTGCTTCTGATCCGGGTTCGTATTCGAAATCCACGTGCATATCGGACAATTGCAGTACTCGAAAGTATCGCTGGGCAGGTACAGCTGGCTGGGCGACTAAAATTGTTAGATATACTTTTCAATGTAAACTGCATAACTAGACCAACACTGGGCTTTCTTCTTGTCAAGCAACGCTTGGACCTCCTTTGTAGGCTTTGGCGGAAGTGCAACTGTCCAACCGGACTCATCAGGATCATTTGGATCAGCGCACTCGTCCAAAATTAGGCCACAGATCTCGGATGGACTTTTGTCGGCCAGGCGTCGGAATACGTAGAAGAACTCGTCCTGTAACCGGGAGGAGTCAAGACGCGAAATCTAAAAGTGCAGAATAAGTTCTAGGGACAATGAAACTCACACGGAACTGTGTCGTAATGCCATCACAGACAACCCAACTCTGTTTCGCTACCAATTTACAGATCAAAGACGCAAACTCTAGTACAACAGGTTCGGTCATATCCAGTTTCATGGCGAGCCTGAAGTACGAACAGAACTTTAAGAGCCTTCGGTGGAAGCACTGTAGCAGGTGAAGGCAGTGCTACCCATCTAAATAAGTTTTAGGTTAGAATCTCTCTTTCCTGGATAAGGCACTCCTATGCGTTCTTCTCCCAATTCGGGAAACCCTCTCCGCCGAGGCAATACGAAATCATACGACTGATCGCGGGGAAGAAGCAGAGATCGACAGCCACACAGAAATCATTTAGCTGGCCAATCACTCTTCCAAAAGCCTCCCACCTCAGTCATAAATTGAATGCATGGTATACCCTACTCATAATCAAACTGCAGGTAACCTCAAGTCACTTGGGTAAGTATCCACGGAAGAGTTTTCTATGCTCACCTGGAGTCGAATGCGTACCGTATCCCACTCTTCGGCAATCAATAAACTAGGATTGTAGTAAAACCTTGATTAAGAAAGAGATTTACTTACCACATAGTCCAAACAGCGGCGGTGCATGGCACACAAAGAGGTGAAAATCTCAGAGGGGTGGTAGAGAGGTTAGCTGAAAAGAAGTTCATTCGACTGCGAGTTTCAAATAATAGTTTAGTGCCACTCACCTCGATGTTGTAACTCATGGGACCGTTTTGGTATCGAGTAGGAATCAACTAAGAAGGCCAAAAGAATGACAGTTGCGAGGAGTACCCAGAAGGGCTTTGCCATTTCCCCTGACTTGACAATTGGGCAGAAGAAGAGAGTGAAGGACCCTGTAGTTCTTCGTTTTTTGTACCCCTGAAATGTTGAAATTGCATGTAAGTCGAAAATCCGTGCGTTGTAAGCGAAATTGCCGATGTTTACGGCTGGTGCGAAAAAGATAAACACTCAACACTCAATATTATCGTCAAATGATATTCAACGGAACAGATATAAACGATGTGGAAAGGGAATTCAAAAAAAAAACTATAGAAATAACCTGAAGTGGGCCATCAACATGTGGGCAAATAGGCAATCGAAACGCAGTGATTAGGCTTGACGAATACTTATGATGGAATGAGTAGGGCATCAATCGTTCTGCTGGATTTTCGAGTTACAGATTACGGTGCCATGGCTGGCAGTGTGCCAACAAGTAACGTGCTTTGACATCGGAAGTAAGCACTATGTTTGCGGATCACTATCCTGGAGTGAATTGGAACAGACTGACTGAATGAACCCATCACGGGATTGATGGACTATGCAAGATAATGACTAGGCAAGTTGGAGACCTCTGAATAGACCTTGTATATGTCGAGCTGCAACTTTTGATGGTCAAGGTATCTCCACCATAATCCCAAAAAGACTGAATGATAAGGGAACACAGACAGGAAGGAAGTATTCAACCATCCACCTTCTCTTACAACGATCCCTTTCCTAGATCAATGAAATGAGTTGAAGTAGGGTAGTGCCAGGAGGTGCCTTTACTGAAGTCATAGTCTGTCGACAACGCCTCTGACTAGATTCCCTCTAAAATCTCAAAAAGGAGAGTAGGAGAATTTTGTGATAATAGTCGGACTGGAGCACCTGGACTCGTCCTCGTCCTGGAATGACTTCAAGAATTTAATAGACCAGGTATCTATTCGAATACAACTGATGGAAAAAAANTGAGTTGAAGTAGGGTAGTGCCAGGAGGTGTCTTTACTTAAGTCATAGTCTGTCGACAACGCCTCTGACTAGATTCCCTCTAAAACCTCAAAAAGGAGAGTAGGAGAATTTTGTGATAATAGTCGGACTGGAGCACCTGGAGCACTCGTCCTCGTCCTGGAATGACTTCAAGAATTTAATAGACCAGGTATCTATTCGAATACAACTGA